GCGGTTTATTGCGGTTTTGTCGGTTTTTCTTTTGTCGGATCGGTTTTTGCTCACCCCTAGATCTTTTCATATGACGAGGAACTACGAATCCAACAAAAGAAAACAATATGGACTAACCATATCAAAAGTCCAATAGCATAACATTTTTTCTTTATTTTTTAGTTTTTCTTAATGTTTTCCTATTTTAAATATCTGTTTTTTCTGTCTTTCTCTTTTATTTCACATTTTTATTGTTTTTTTTAATTTTAAATAACATTTTTTGTGTGCTGTTTTTTTTAAATAACAATATTCTTTTGTCCGTTTTTTTTTGGATATCATCATTTCGACACAATAAAAGATTTTCTTTTTCAACATCTTAATCTGTTATTATTCACATAAAAAAAGGGAGGTAAACTTTTTTATTGTTCAAGAATTGGACGGAAAAAAGGTGTCCAAAATTCTTTTTATCAAGATAAACATATATGTATATAGTATATTTAAATATTATTCTTAAATCAATTTAAATTAAATAGTTTGATTTTAGTAAAAATAAAAACCGATGCTTAATTAGATTCATTATTAAATATATTGTTTAGACGGTTTTGATATGAAAACTATAAAAATAATTATATTTAATATGTTAATATTTTGTCAAATTAGTTTTTTAATGACAATATAACATGTATAATAAATATCAATTTTAAAGTGTCAAAGTGTATGAAATTGATCTTAATCAAAACATTGTTAAAAAAATATGTTTTTATGACACAACATGACGATGAAGTTTATTAAAAAGCTAAAATAGTGTTTACTGGGTTATAGAGACACTTTGAAGTTGTTGTTAAAGCTAATGAGTATTTATCTTATTTATATTGTTGCTGATTTGTTACATTTGTGACACTTTGTTGCTGTCACAAAAATACTGAAATACATTTTAATTGTATAAAAGTGTTGTATTAAGGTGTATGAATTTGGTAACACATTGTGGCAACTAGACCTATGTGATGTTTATTTGGTGTCTTTTTTGGATTTTGAAATTGTAATTTTGCAACATGCATGTGGTTTTAATTATCTATTTATTTTATAAGTAAAATTTTCTTTTAACTTTATTGTAAGATTAAGGGGAATGGTAACACTCCTAACACCTTGCCACATCATCTTTTTGTGTGTCACGTCATTTTTCTCTCTTAACAATTTATTCTTAGCATTTGGAAGAGAGTGGTAACACTCCTAACACTCCATTTTTTTTTTCATTTTCAAATTTAATTAACAAAAGTGCAATATATTTCACATTTAGACCAAACCCATATACAAAAAAAAAAAACAAAAACAAAAAACAAAACTGCAATATATTTTACATTTAGAAGCACATATAACAAAAATGCAACATCCGTTTGTGCATTACAATAGACCAAATACAAACCAAGAGCATCCTAATCATGAATAGGAGACTTGAGATAAGAAACAATCAGATAAGCAATTAAGATAGCACAAAACATAAAATTATTGGATCAAAAGCCTTACTAGCTGAAGCATAAACATTATAGAAAATCAAATATCAATACATAAAAATTATACCATTGGTCTGTAGATATTTAGAAAAATTAGATTAGAAAAATATACCTGAACATAAAAATGAGAAATTAAAGATGCAAAATTAAAGATATGATTCCAAAATTCAGAAAGGATTAAGTCTTTTGGAGAAACTTCAAAGAGGATTTAGTCCAAATATACCAATGCATTACAAATTTGGAAAATGTAGTTCAATACCACTATAAAATGTTTTTTTTTCATTTGAGCATTTCATCAAACACCTTGTCTTCATGTTTGTTTCAATGACCTTAGCTACAAAAAACACAACACTGTGAGAATCTATAATTGTAATTCTTCAACATTAACACAAACTTGAAGGCAAATCAGCTTTGTTCACACGGTTCCTTCAACTTTAAAAAGAAATTAATCTATTTACAAAACGTAAAAACCCACTTTGAGGGCCTTAAACACCTTAAAATATAGTAAATCACATAATAAAATATAGTAACAGAGCATTAAAACTTACAAAAGAAAAGAAGAAATTATAGCAAGAAGAAGGAGAAATCAGTACCTCATGTTGATGAAATCGCAGGAGAAGAACCAGAAATCGTTTGCACCAATCACATCCTTCCAACCCTTTCTCTTTCTTCTCGCCATGGAGTCGACGAGCATCCCTTAGCGAGCTCCCTAGCGAGCGCTAGGGGGCGGTGTTCTCTTCCTCTTAGCGAGAGTAGTGACCCGGTAGCGAGCCTCCACTCCTTTCAGCCTAATAGTTAAGTTAGAAAATTATTAAATATAATAAATGAAAATCGAATACTACCAAACGAAAACCATAGAAATTGGTGTTTTAACTTTTAAGAAGTTCTCCCGAAACATCAACAAGTGATGGCAAAACAAGTAGGAACCGAACATCAAAATGTTTGTTTTTTTTTCTCTAGAGATAGAAAATATAAAAAAAATTGCTATTTATAAAAACAAAAAAAGAACAACAAAAAAGTAAAATAAAAGAGAAAAGAAGAAAATCAATCTCTATGACCCAATAAAATGGTAAAAAGACGAAATAAAAGAGAAAGTGAGAAAATCAATCTCAATAAATATTTTTCAAATACACTAATAAATAAATAGTTTTTTCAATAACCCTATTTTTAAAAAAAAAAAAAAAAAAAAAAAAAAAAAAAAAAAAACTCCACGTTTGACAGACGAGAGAGAATCCAACATAGAAATTGAGTGAATTCAGTTCCTACAGTTTACCTACCACAGTCTAGACTATCGACGCGACGCGAGCATTGAGGTCACCTACCTTAGTCGATCGTCTCGCGTGCTTCCATGAAACGTGGTGAAGATCACTGAGTTCACCTACCACATTCGATAGTCTCGACTCTCGACTTGAGCATTGCAACAATGGGGGAGCGTAATTCAACCTTCGAGATGCCTAGAGTGAAGCTTGGGAATCAGGGGCTTGAGGTCAGAGTCTGGATTTATCTTTGGGAATCAGGGGCTTGAGGTCAGAGTCTGGATTCAACCTTCGAGATGCCTAGAGTGAAGAGAGTGGTAACACTCCTAACACTCCATTTTTTTTTCATTTTCAAATTTAATAAGTAAAATTTCCTTTTAACTTTATTGTAAGACTAAGGGGAATGGTAACACTCCTAACACCTTTATTTATTTTATAAGTAAAATTTCCTTTTAACTTTATTGTAAGACTAAGGGGAATGGTAACACTCCTATCTTTTCCTTTTCTATTTATTTTATAAGTAAAATTTCCTTTTAACTTTATTGTAAGACTAAGGGGAATGGTAACACTCCTAACACCTTGCCACATCATCTTTTTGTGTGTCACGTCATTTTTCTCTCTTAACAATTTATTCTTAGCATTTGGAAGAGAGTGGTAACACTCCTAACACTCTATTTTTTTTTCATTTTCAAGATTAATTAACAAAAGTGCAATATATTTCACATTTAGACCAAACCCATATACAAAAAAAAAACAAAAACAAAAAACAAAACTGCAATATATTTTACATTTAGAAGCACATATAACAAAAATGCAACATCCGTTTGTGCATTACAATAGACCAAATACAAACCAAGAGCATCCTAATCATGAATAGGAGACTTGAGATAAGAAACAATCAGATAAGCAATTAAGATAGCACAAAACATAAAATTATTGGATCAAAAGCCTTACTAGCTGAAGCATAAACATTATAGAAAATCAAATATCAATACATAAAAATTATACCTGGTCTGTAGATATTTAGAAAAATTAGATTAGAAAAATATACCTGAATATAAAAATGAGAAATTAAAGATGCAAAATTAAAGATATGATTCCAAAATTCAGAAAGGATTAAGTCTTTTGGAGAAACTTCAAAGAGGATTTAGTCCAAATATACCAATGCATTACAAATTTGGAAAATGTAGTTCAATACCACTATAAAATGTTTTTTTTTTCATTTGAGCATTTCATCAAACACCTTGTCTTCATGTTTGTTTCAATGACCTTAGCTACAAAAAACACAACACTGTGAGAATCTATAATTGTAATTCTTCAACATTAACACAAACTTGAAGGCAAATCAGCTTTGTTCACACGGTTCCTTCAACTTTAAAGAGAAATTAATCTATTTACAAAACGTAAAAACCCACTTTGAGGGCCTTAAACACCTTAAAACATAGTAAATCACATAATAAAATATAGTAACAGAGCATTAAAACTTACAAAAGAAAAGAAGAAATTATAGCAAGAAGAAGGAGAAATCAGTACCTCATGTTGATGAAATCGCAGGAGAAGAACCAGAAATCGTTTGCACCAATCACATCCTTCCAACCCTTTCTCTTTCTTCTCGCCATGGAGTCGACGAGCATCCCTTAGCGAGCTCCCTAGCGAGCGCTAGGGGGCGGTGTTCTCTTCCTCTTAGCGAGAGTAGCGACCCGATAGCGAGCCTCCACTCCTTTCAGCCTAATAGTTAAGTTAGAAAATTATTAAAATATAATAAATGAAAATCGAATACTACCAAACGAAAACCATAGAAATTGGTGTTTTAACTTTTAAGAAGTTCTCCCGAAACATCAACAAGTGATGGCAAAACAAGTAGGAACCGAACATCAAAATGTTTGTTTTTTTTTTTCTCTAGAGATAGAAAATATAAAAAAAAAATTGCTATTTATAAAAACAAAAAAAGAACAACAAAAAAGTAAAATAAAAGAGAAAAGAAGAAAATCAATCTCTATGACCCAATAAAATGGTAAAAAGACGAAATAAAAGAGAGAGTCAGAAAATCAATCTCTATGACCCAATAAAATGGTAAAAAGACAAAATAAAAGAGAGAGTTAGAAAATCAATCTCAATAAATATTTTTCAAATACACTAATAAATAAATAGTTTTTTCAATAACCCTATTTTCAAAAAAAAAAAAAAAAAAAAAAAAAAAAAAAAAAACTCCACGTTTGACAGACGAGAGAGAATCCAACATAGAAATTGAGTGAATTCAGTTCCTACAGTTTACCAACCACAGTCTAGACTATCGACGCGACGCGAGCATTGAGGTCACCTACCTTAGTCGATCCTCTCGCGTGCTTCCATGAAACGTGGTGAAGATCACTGAGTTCACCTACCACATTCGATAGTCTCGACTCTCGACTTGAGCATTGCAAGAATGGGGGAGCGTAATTCAACCTTCGAGATGCCTAGAGTGAAGCTTGGGAATCAGGGGCTTGAGGTCAGAGTCTGGATTTATCTTTTCCTTTTCTGTTTCATATATGATCAGCCAGCATTGTTTCACCACATTCTAGTTCATTGGCACAAATCAGAAACGATAGTTTGGTCTCTTTCATTGATCGTAGCATAATTCTAATTGGTATTTATCTTGTTTGCATTTTGTCGGATTATGTTGCTTGCATATCCGATTCTCTGATTAAGTTCCTATCTAGTTGCTACGTGCATTCCCAAACTTGTGTGATCGTTTGGTTTGATTAATAGGATCTGCCTCCTCGGTGCAGAGATTCCTGTGAAGCGATTTAGAGAAAAAAAAAACACACACACACACACACACACTTCTATCAAACATTCAAACCCTAGCGCTACCCTGTTCATCTGTTTTAAACAAATCTCATTTTTCGGATCAGATCATTGCTAGAGAGTATGTTAAATCTGGAACTATGATCCATAAAACTCTATAAGCTCTTAGCCTACTTAACATGTACCTTGATTTAACATTTTCTGCAAAAGATCAACCCTGATTGTCTGACAGAGAGAATGGTTCTAAGTTGCAAATTAGATATGGATCTGTTAGACATTCAACCGCATTTTCCTTTATACAGGTCTCAAGATTAGGGTATGGCTGCATGGGGCTTACAGGTATCTATAACAATCCTCTCCCTGAGAAAGAAGGCATCAAAGTGCTCAAGGAAGCTTTTAATAGAGGAATTACATTCTTTGATACTGCTGATGTATATGGGGTTCAGCATGCTAATGAGATACTAGTTGGGAAGGTAATTGGATTTCCTTATACAAAACAACAAAGCTATATACATAATCTTCATGAAATTCTTGCCAATGTAATCACATTGCCAAACATTTATCCTAGTTGATTAAACTGGAATGCTGCAGGCATTAAAGGAATTACCTCGAGACAAGATCCAATTAGCCACAAAATTTGGTATTTTCAAGATTGAAACCACTGGTATTAAAGTCAAAGGTACCCCTGAATATGCCCGTTTGTGTTGTGAGGGTAGCCTAAAGAGGTTGGGTGTGGACTACATTGATCTTTATTATATACATAGAATTGACACAACTGTTCCTATTGAAGACACTGTAAGTTTACACTTGTGGACCTTGATTTCTTGAGTTTCACATACAGGCATTACATATATTTTTTTGAAATACAGATGGAAGAACTTAAAAAGATGGTGGAAGAAGGTAAGATAAAGTACATCGGGCTATCTGAAGCTAACGCAGACACAATCAGGAGAGCACATGCCATTCATCCAATCACTGCTTTACAAATGGAATATTCCCTTTGGACCCATGATATTGAGGAAGAACTGATTCCATTGTGCAGGTGTATTTCTATTTTTATTCAATCTATTGATTTATTTCCCATTTGGGTTTTTGTATGTTGCCCTGAATTTGTTTGTTGCAAAGGGAACTTGGAATAGGCATAGTTCCATACAGTCCTGTTGGGCGTGGATTTTTTGGGGGCAAAGCAATTAAAGAAAGTGTACCCGAAAACAGTATATTGGTAATTGATCAACTACATATCTTTGTATTAAAGTTAGGAGTATAAAAAGCTTTTGATATCAAAGATTCTCTCTTAGGGTTCACATCCGAGGTTTACTGGAGAAAACTTTACAAAGAACAAGGTTGTTTATGATCGTGTAGAAGCAATGGCAAAAAATCACAGATGTACCCCTATTCAGCTTGCTCTTGCGTGGGTTCTTCATCAGGGGGAGGATGTAGTGCCTATTCCTGGTAAGTTTACAATAATTTGCTTTTTCAAAGTTGTTATCATTGTAAAGAAGAAGAAATATATTAGAGTATATTGAGTAAAGTACGTTACTATTTCTGATTGGTTGGTTGTTGGTTCTTTTTTTGACATAGGGACAACTAAGATTAAGAATCTTGATGAGAATGTTGGTACAGTTAAAGTGAAACTTACAAAAGAAGACGTTGGAGAAATTTCTAATGCGGTGCCTATCGATGAAGTTGCTGGTTGTAGAACTGGTGAAGCTCTTCTACGTATCTCGTGGAAATTTGCAAATTCGCCCCCTAAGAACAACACTTGATCATCTTCATGTACCCATGCTCCACTATATACCTTTTTGTGACCCTGTGCTCTGGGGACATTGTGATTTATCTTCCTCATGTTAGCAGTTGTGGGAATTAGGTATTGTTGTTGTTGTGGTAAACAGGCAGTGAGATTGGTTGGTTAGCGGTATTATGTAAACACATGTTTTAAGCTATGTTTTTCTTCAAAGGTGTTTCGATATATGTGGATCCTAAATTGTAGAATATGGTTATATGTGTGGAGAAAGTTTTGTATTGTTGAGAAAATGAATAATACATCTCTTATGTGGATGTAGCACGGTTATCTTGATTGTGTGAACCAGATTAATTATTGTGCTCATTATTTTTCTTTGCATCTTTAATAATGTGTTTTGTAATTCTTAAGTCTAAACCCTCGCAAAATGTGCCCTGCAAATACAAAATACTACGTTTGAACGAGTGATGAACCTCTAAATGCCATGGCCTACTATACATATTTACCCTCTTTGATATACATATATTGCTACGATTAATAAAAAAAAAAAAAAAAAAAAAAAAAAAAAGCAGGCTTTTTAAAAAGAGGAAAAAATAAATAAAAAGTAGGTTGTTATTTTTATCGATTAACCAAGGTGTTATTTGCAACCCAATTTTTAGTGTGAAGTTTTAATGACATTAGTTGAAAGTTGGAGGTGCTGAAAGAAAATCTTGACCATTCTTTTGTTTTTATGCAACACTTTCGTACTGTTCCAGAAGCAACTGTCTGACGAAAGAAGGTCCACCCCCCACTGCCATGGCTTCGACGGAGCAGCCTCCGAAGAAACGAAAACTGTACGACCTGTCGCAACCGCCATCAACAGCGGAGCCACAGCCACAGCCACAGCCACCGGCGCCTCAGACGAGTGCGAATGTACCTACTACAACCCTATCGCAGGAAGAAATTGCCCGAAAGCGGAGAAATCAAGAGGAGATTGCCAACTTCTACGAGTCTTACAAGCGTCTTAAGTATTGTATTTCTCAGAAGGATGCTCGTCTCATGCCCGAACTTGAACAGGCTTATCTCTCCCTCATCACCGCCTCCAGAGGTACACATTTCTTACAGAAAACTATTTATAAACCCTAAAATTAACTATTAAGATGATGAAAATGAGACTATATTAATAATTCATGGTACAATTGCTACCAAGAGTTATCCGATTCGTTATTTACTCGGGCTCTAAAAATTCTAGTTATCAGTATATGTAATCTGTGCGTGAATTTGTTTATTTGATGTGCAATAGGTGCTCCTCTGATCCAAAGAAAGCAATAAGATTTATCCATTTCACCTAGCACTCTTCAAATGAACCTGTATACCACCAACCTTATTGATGTTTTGGTACTTATATTGTTGGATTTAGAAAGAAGAAAGACAAACAAAGTTATCTTATAACCTCTTAGTTTTATTCAAAGACAACAAAATAATTTGAGGTTTACATTTACAAACATATATATAAAACATTTTCACTAACCATTGTACCCTTTCAAGATGATGGTTAGGAAGTAATTACCTTAACTACCGATAACTATAACTACCCATCAAACCGATTTACTTAGTCTAGCTTATACTTAACATTCCCCCTTAAGCTAGACTTTAAATATGCCCAAATCTTCCTTTAATTGATTGAAATTACCAATTTGTAAGGCTTTGATAAACATATCAGCCACTAGATCCTTGGTGTTTGTAGTCTTGCAGAAATCAAATTCAATCTATTCGTTGTTGACACTTGACAAGTTCTCGAATGAAATGATATTTAATTTTAATAATTCATTTCAGATGTGTTTCTTTCTCCATAAAATACTGGATTTTTGGTCAGAGCTATGATTGATTTATTATCACAATATATCTTTGTTGGTGCTGCTTGAGGCCACTTCAATTCTTTTTAGAATAGCCCTTAAAGAACTTGACACCCACCAATGAACAAAGACATGTATTCTGCTTCTACATAAGATAAAGCCACAGCACTTCGTTTTTTTTTTTATTGTAATAATCTTCTACAAAATCCCAATGGTACCAGTTTTGAAGTGTAAGAGAACTCATTTGATTATCATTTAAAAAATGTTTTTAACACAGGTTGCACGAGTGTTCAACGGCTTGTAGCAGAGTTTGTCCCCAAATATGCATCATGTTGTCCTACTGCTCTTGAAGCAGCAGCAAAAGTTTGTATCAATGTACATAACTGGAGCATGGCAATCATAAACAGAGGTGAAGATGCTGATGGTTTTTCATTTGGAACTGCTAAAATCTGTATATTTGGTCTATCTACTATCTGTCAAGCTGCTTCATCAGAGACACCAACATCCTCTGTTATTCAAGGCATCTGTTCAGCTGTCTTTCTCAATGTTCTAACCTTCTTTATTTCATCATTTGAGGGACAAGGAATCTTCCAGATTGTAAACAAAGATGTTACAAACATCTTTGATTCTCCAAAAACATTCTCTGAGCTCAAAGAAAAGTTTTCTAATGAAAATGAAGCTCCATCTGTCATATTATCCAAGTTTCGTGCATTATGTATGCTATGGATTTTCTTCAGGTGTCCTAGAAATTCACTTGCAGCATGCTTTGAGCTCTGTACTTCTAGTTTAATGTCAACAGATGCTGTTCCTGTTCCCAATGGGGGACAGTATTTTCTTAATCAGGTGACAGCTGGACTTGACACATGTGATGATAAAGTTTCAACAGACAAAAACTGCTTATTGAGTCTGGTTCTTGAGAAGGACCCATCATTAAAAAAATGGATACTTTCAACAGTCAAAAGCATTAGTAAATCAGCTTCATCTCACATTGTGTCTGACATCACCTCTGCTTTTGAGAAAATATTAGAAGAGGTGAAGTCAGGGGAAAAGCAAGTGGACAGCGATGGAGACGATACAAATTCTTCCAAATTTACCCCTAGGCAGTTTTTAGTTCCTAGAACCTCAGAAGCTTCTGTTAGAGAAGGATCAATAACATCCAACACAAGCTCTAACAACAGTGGAGGCCCAAAATCTATGGACCTAGACTCTGTAGATCACAAAGAGTTACCCCATGCCAGCTCATCAACTCCCCGGGACCCATTCGTTGGAAGAAATCAAAATGGCAATAATAGAACATTCGAATCACCTAACAAACATCATTTAACTTCACCGTATCCGTTGACCGGTCAACCGAGTTGGCTCGGTGACGGGGATCGAGCTGCAATGGATGTTTACACAGCTTCAAGACAGCTTTGGGTGGGGTCATTGGGTGGGCCCGACTCATCTGAGGGACATGTAAGGTTTCAATTTGAAAGATTTGGCCCTATAGATAAGTTTTTATACGTGGGATTTAAAGGGTTTGCAGTTATTGAGTATAATAACATTTTGGATGCTATAAAGGGTAGGGAAGTTATGAGGGGGCGTTCTCCTTGGGTGATAAAGTTTTTAGATATAGGCATAGGCACAAGAGGCGATATAAATGGTGTGGCTGTTGGGTGTAGCTGTCATGTGTATGTTGGAAACATTCAAAGCCAGTTGGAGAAAGATGAGATATTGTATGAAGTAAGAAAAGTAGTTTTTAAGGGCCCACTTGCAGTTAATGAGCTTATGAGTGAAGGTGCTTTGTTGATGGAATTTGGGTCTCCTGAAGAGGTTGCCACAGTTATTGGACATCTTAGACATTATCGTAAAGATAAAAGCCAAAGGGATTCTGTTTCTTTCCAATCAAACAATATGCAATACCAAAATTGGACGTATAGAAATAATCCGGAAAGTGTATTGCTATCACACATGCAGGGGCATTATGGTCCACCATCACACTCACAGCCGATACAAATGAGACCTATGTATTATCCTCCTCCTCCTCCGAATAGCTCGTGGGGGGACCCACAGCCACACGGGATGATTCATCATCATGTGGCAGCGCCTCCTCCTTTCTTGCCTCCTGCTGCTTCTGTAACTCCACTCACTCATAATGCATTGCCACCGCCACATCATGATCAGATGTATTATGTGCCACCTCAGCCTGATGTGGGAGTGGGACCACCTCAGTTAACCTTGCCACCACCATTACCATTACCACCACAACCAAATATGCCGCCTCCGTTACCTATTCATCCGGAATTACCGCCACCATTGCCGCCGTCTCCACCTCCTTCGTTTGAGTCTCAACCACCACCTCCGCCACCACCAGCGGTTGAGTCTCCGATGATGGGAAATCACTGGCAGGGGACATTGAGTAAAAGCGGGGTTCATTACTCTACAATACATGCACGTAAACTGCATTCAGACGTCTGCAATTATTCCGATAATAATATCTCAGAGCCTACAGAGTAATTTTATTTATTTATTTTTCTTTCTATATATTCTCTTTTTGGATATATAAATTACTAACTTGTATTGATTTATGTTGGTGGTTTTTAGATGGCCTGCTAAATTAGATATAACAAAGCGGACTGACTTTAGACATGTGATGTCAACATTTTCTAGCACCCCACCACACAAGGTCATAATATTATATAATTCTATATAACTTTTGATTAAAGGCTATAAAATTATTTATTAATACTTGTGTGCTGTTTGATGATTGACGTGATATACAGAGAGAGGTATGCCAACTCCTCCCAAGTTCTGCTGCTGACCAAAAAGGGGTAACAAACTTATGATCTTAACTACCACTGTAACTTTCTATGTTTATCTGTATTATGTTTATGATTTTTTTTTTTTTTTTTTTAAATTGCAGTTTCAAGATTTTATATCATACCTGAAGCAAAGGGAGTGTGCAGGAGTTATAAAGATTGGGACTACTAGAACCATATGGTCAAGACTTGTGTTCATTCTCCCTTACTCGCATGAGACATGCTCTCTTCTCTCCATTGCCCCTGATACACCAGACTGCCTCATTGCTCTTGTTCTACCTAAAGAAACCAATTTTGAATGGGTATAATAGTAATTAACCAACAAATTCTAGCTACTACTCGATTGACAATGGATGTCATTATGTTCTTGTTTTGTATATAGGTAAAGCCGCCATTGTATGTATATGTTTAGAGATTTTAAGTTCAAATAGAATGGGTACAATTTTACGTTGGTATGTATTTTATCGATTTTGGGTTAATTTGACTTAACAACACCTACTGAAGTTTGAAAGTGAAAGACAAAAAAGACAGTTGTAAGAGATTCTAGAGATTAAAATTGTAATAACCACTTAGAGAATGCTTTTGTTATACAAAGCATCGGAATTCAAATAATCACCTTTTAAAGTAAGAGAAATAAGAGCATTAGTATTTAGTGCAATAAAATCAAAATTTATAGATTGAATGAGTTTTTAACAATTGCAGCTTAATAATTGTATCTTGTTAAACAGTTATTACGAGAGTAAAGCATACAGCACTTAAAAAATAACAAAATCGTCTAAACAGTATTATATATCTTTTACTGTGAAAAACAATATCATCAATCAAAGTGGCGCAGCGGAAGCGTGGTGGGCCCATAACCCACAGGTCCCAGGATCGAAACCTGGCTTTGATAAAAAGAAGCTTACGTTGTAATTATTAATTTTTTCTCTTTTGCTTTTTAGTCTCATGCCCACATTGCAGCTTTAGTTTCTAGGAGTCCACATTGGTACAAATTTGGAAATTTGTCGTATACAAAGTAATCGGTTCGTATTGTGGTATCCATTTAATGAAGCATTTGGAGACTAAAAATCATTTAGGGTAAATTACACCAATCGTCCCTCGTACATATGCCAGAAAGCGTGTTTAGTCCCTATATTCAAAAATTAACTCGGACCGTCCCTTGTTTTGTTTTTTTCTTGCTTGCTTAGTCCCTCCGCACATAAAAATACCATTTTACCCTTATTTATTTATTTTTTGGTTTATTTTCTATTTACTTGTTATTTATTAATTATTTATTGATTTGTTTATTATACAAAATAAATATTATTGCATTTAAAAAAAAAAAATGGGTCGGTACATTTAATCACTCGTCTCCCCCTCCCCTTCTTCTTCTTCTTCTTCAATGCATCTCATATCTACCATTACCACCCACAACGACCGACTTCAATGCTCCGACAACTCCTTCGAAAAGTCCTAGACATCTCCGGTTTCATACAGAAGAGATCGACTCCAAGACACCGGCCAAGTCCAATCTCTATTTTACTCTCTTCTCCTGTTTCCCCTATTCTGATCTCATACTTGCGTCTCTCCAATTTCAGATTTGGAAATGGAACCATTTGAGTTTCCCCATCTCAAGATTTACCACAGATTGCCCAACACCACCTATCACCGCTAGCACCTCTGACACCACCACCTATCACTGCCATGTCCTCCTCCAACCAAATCATAATCTGAAAACCTTGCACCTGGTTTCTTCCTTGATCTGAAACCTTAAGCAGAAATCGATCTGGACATATGTGAAGAAGGAAATCAATCTAAACATATGCCGACAACTTCTTCCTCGATCTCAACCTTGCACTCGTCTTCTTCATCAATTATCCATGTGTGCTCTCCATTCAATCAGACTTATGGTTTGTATGATTTCCTTACATGGTGCATCCAAAAATCCAGATGTAAAAGAGATCCAAAAAATCAATCTAGGTTAAAATCTGACAATCATCGATTGTAAAATTTCCCATACATCGATTGTTTTCTAATAAACAAGTACAATTATAAACAAAATAAAAAAAGAGAGAGACCAGCATTCCAATTCGACCATATCTGAAAGGCACTTGGTACCGATTTGAACGGATCTAAAATGGGTTTCAACCCATCTGCAACCCTGTATAACCATGGCGTCGGAGATAGTGTCCGCTTCCGCCTCCGATTATAATGCCTTCGCCTCTGATTCGAATAGAGAATTAAGAAAGAGTGACAGTTCTACATTGAGAACGGAGAAGAGGGAAAGAGATTGATTATTCTTCATATCTTTCTGGTGATGGCTTCCCCCCATCACAAAATCAGATAGAGAGGAGGTAACCTTGCTCCTATGGTGTCTGATTTAGGTTTCGAATTCATGGTAGCTTTTGAGGTGCATATCGACTTCATGGGTATCTTGAAGCTTGTCAGAAGCATATGATTTTGCCGGCGGGTTCTACAATACTGAAAGAAAAGAGAAAGGGGAAATGTAGAGGATGGGTGAAAGTGGGCCCAATTTCCTTTTTTAAATGATAAATAATATTAGATTAATTGAAAAAAAATACACAGGGGCATTATTGTCATTTTAAATCTGGTATGGACTAAACCTCCAACAAAATCGTCTTTTAGGGATGAAACATGCAACTTTAAACCAAACGAGGGACCGTCCGAGTTAATTTTTGAAAATAGGGGCTAAACGTGTTTTTCGGCACCTGCACGAGGGACGATTCGTGTAATTTACCCGATCATTTACTATAAAATAGCGTGAGGTTTCATGCTTTTAATTTTGAGCCTCTTTGCCTTTGATTTAGGGCGTTTGTAATCGAATGTTATTTCGGAATGGCAAGGATATATTATAAGAATAAGAACTTGGTGAATAAGCCGCATCTATGTTCACAAAATGTTGTACAAAATCGTGACTAGTCTCTAATCACTCGTAAGGTGGTAGGCAGCCAACTAGGTGTTATATAGGCACTTAAAAGCTGATTAGGCAATTAATAAAGCTGTACGTGGCAGATGAATGTTTAACATCAATAAAAACTTTTTTAGAAATAATCATCGTTGTATTAGTCATATTTACTTATTTTGTAATGATATATATATATATATTATATATATATATATATATATATATATATATATATATATATATATATATATATATATATATAGGGAAGGGATATGGAAAACAAAAAAAACCCTAAAAATCATCAAAATGCATAAAAAAAATACTTAGAGATAACAAAATTTTTTTTTTTTGGCTTTTTTTATCCAAAAATCGCAGCTATTTCAAGATTTTCGCTAAAAAAAAATTAAAAAATCAATTTTTTTTTTTTTAGTTTTTTTTCAAAAAAAATTTCAGCGAATTTATATAAAAAGTTGCGAATTTTAAGAATAAAAAGTCAAAAAAAAGATTTGTGATCTCTAAGTATTTTTTTATGCATTTTTATGATTTTTAGGGTTTTTTGTTTTCCATAGAACCTATATATATATATATATATATATATATATATATATATATATATATATATATATATATATATATATATATATATATATATAGTTAATTGTTTTACATTAAGAGTCTCCGACTAGTCGCCAACTAGTCCGACTAAACCAATTAGTCTCTATGCCTAACGATTTTTGCGACCTCATGTGCATATGAAGAAAAAGCAATAATCTATACAACGAATAAAGCTACACACTTCTGGTTATCTTGAACGACTATGGTGTAGTTCATGTATCCGTAAACATCTAACCGCAACTTAATTGGGTCAAGAAAGACCTGCCAAATAAAAATCTCATAGCTTATCATCAACCCATCTGATAAAGAAGTCATTTCTATTAGACGATATATTTTATATTATTGTTGTATATAATTTCCTGTATTATCCATTGTATTTAAGGTAGGTTTATTATGTATTGTACTTGTATATTGTATCCTGTATCAACGAGAAAGGTAATCAATTCTTGATATCCTTTAATTTCAACCATGAAACCACACATAAGGAAAGGTTCAAAGGAGCACAACATCAAAAACACTTGTATACACATAATGGGTAAAGACACGAAAAGGAAAATAACATTGTCAGATAACCTTTGCAGATTTCAAAAATAATTGTCATACCGAGACTAATATTTCCCTAGAAAGAAGACTCACACCAAGCACACATATGATACTCCCTTGCGAAACTGGTACAACACCTAACACATGCAAAGTTTACCATGAGAAGAAAAATAAATCCTCCTGATAAGAAGAATAAGTTTGATTAATAACGAGGACATCATTACACGTTACAAGCATTGGTAGGAGATGAACACCATTCGTTGCAATTAAAATGTTGAAATTTTGCTTTATGTGTTGGAAATAGTTTGCAAGGTATAAACAAATTACATCTATCTATCTATCTATCTATCTATCTATATCTATATATCTTATAAAGCTAGCATTTTTCTTTGAACCTCATGCATTTGAAACTCCCATGTATTTTTCCTTTCACCACATTCATTTGAAACTCCCATAAAATTTCAATTTTTTTTCTAATAATAATTATAAGTTGGTTAATAAGGTTAAATAAATATCAAACCTAAAGTGTAATCATATATAAACTAAATTTCAATATTAAAATAATATGTTTACTTCTACTTATAAAGTTATGTTTTTTAACTTTTAACATATTATACTTAATTTATTAGTTTTAATATATTGTTCGATGTAAACCATTATCATTTTAAAGGTACAATTTTGGAACAATTTGTATAAAATACTTAAATTATTAATTTAAATAGAACATTACAGGGTCAACTTAAATATAAATTTTAGTTTAACTTAAACAATCCAAAACATATTTTGTAAATAGTTAAAAGTGATAAATTGTAGTGTCTTTCTAATAATGATTATAAGTTGGTTAATAAGGTTAAATAAATATCAAACCTAAAGTGTAATCATAAATAAACTAAATTTCAATTTTAAAATAATATATTTACTTCTACTTATAAAGTTACGTCTTTAACTTTTAACATATTATACTTAATTTATTAGATTTAAAATGTTGTTGTATGTAAACCATTATCAGTTTAAAGCTACAACTTTTGAACGGTTTGGACAAAATACTTAAATTGTTAATTTAAATATAACATTACAGTGTCAACTTAAATATAAATTTCAATTTTACTTAAAAACCAAAGAATATTTTGTAAATAGTTAAAAGTGATAAATTGTAGTGATAAATGCAAAAACTAAATTGTAATCTCAATTTAACTAAAATATTTCCTAAAGATATTTTTATAATCGTTAAAAGTTTTCAAATAAGTAGCATAAAATAACTTACAATAACAATAGTTAATAATAACTCTATATAAATGATTATATTGTTACCTTTAAAATCAAAAAACAATGTTTGATATTTTAAATAA